AACACTATATACCAGAGACATTTTACAGGGGTGGAGCAGGGATGGAGTGGGGGTGGAGTGGGGATCAAAAGTGGGGGAGGGGAGTGCATGGGACTATGGTGATGGCACACAGGTGATTTGGTGATGGGAAGCCCACGGGGATTACAACTGAGGTGGGAAAAGGCACAAAATGATGCAAAAATAAACTATTCTATTATTTAAAAATATACAGGCCCCCACCTTTGACCCCACAGGGGTCACAGGCCTCAGGATAAGAACCCCAAGGGCACATCATTACCTGGGGGCGAACTACTGAGCCCCACTTCCAGAGAAGCTGAGTAAAAGGGGGTGAGACAAAGCTCCTATCCACCTCCACCACTAATCCATCTCCCCATCCTCCCCCACAGCTTATCGGGCAACGCCCTGGGGGACGAAGGTGCTGTCCAGGCGGCTCAGCTGCTCCCAGGACTGGGCACTCTGCGGTCCCTGAAGTGAGTAGACAGCCGGGCAAAGCCTCTGGGGCTTGTCCTGGCCAGGAGGAGAGAGAGAGAAAGCCTGTGTGCGTGTGGGGGGGGGCATTCTGTTCCATGCCACTCCCTTGGGGTTACTATAAAGATTTAGCCAGCACAAGCGTGACCATCCCTGTCCCACCCATGACTCACAGCAATCATGCAGAGGAGTTAAACTGTGACTCATCAAACTAGCCACTGGCCCCTCTACCCCAGTGCTCCAACTCTGACCCAAAGTCTCACTTCCACATGTGGTGAGGCAGTCTTGCTGATGAAGGAGCCGTCTGGCCCTGAGGTGCAGGGAGGGGCTGCTGGAGGGGGTGTTCAGTGGGGCTGGAGTCCTGGCAGGATGCCCAGAGCCCCCAAACTTTGCCCGCAGGGGACCAGAGTGCCTGGGTCCTAAAAGGCCCCCCAAGTTCTTGGCTTCCCAACTCCCTCTCCTCCTGAGGCCACAGTGGGAAGCCTGCTGTGGCCCCTTTCTGCCTGGGGTGCCCCTTCGGGGTGCTGGGAAGGGGATTCCTTGCCCTGTTCGGAGTCTGCCCTGGGAGCGAGGAAGCCTCACCACAGCCGGCCAGTCAGCTACCCCTGAACACTCGGGGGGTTAGGAGTCACGGCCACTGGGCAGTGGAAAGTCTCTGCCAGATGTTTGGGGGCCCTCCAGCCCCCCTTAAAGTAGGCCCCCCTATACCGGGCTAACGTTCGCAGCGTCCACCTCCTGACACCCGCCGTGGGTTGAGTCTGTGAAAGCAGAACCCACAGACAGAAAAAGCTCCACATAGAAGGGACCTGTGGAGTTTGAGTGTGACGTGTATGTGCAGCCTGGAACATTCCAGCAGGTCCCCATGGGCACCCCCCAGCTGTCCTGGGACGCCTGGGACCCCCCAGGGCCCACTCCCCTGCCAGTGTCTCCAGCAACACTGCCCGGTGAATAAAAACACCGGTGGGCATTGAGGGAACCACAGAGCGCGAACGGGCTTGGGCCTGCCCTTGGGCAAAAGGCTCCGTGTTTTCGTTCGCCCTGGACATGGTGCAGCCCTGTGCCCCACCCCGCAGACAGAAGGGACCAGAGGGCTCCAATCTCAACTCCGTTGCCCACGTGTGTGATAACCTTGGGCGTGACCTTGCCTCTTCCTAGTCCTCAGTTTCCCCTCTGCACACTGGGGGGCTGGAGGAGGGGCCCCTGACCATTGGGGTCCGGACTGTCGTCTGGGTTCAGGGCCGCCCCCCCTTGCCCTCGCCCCGAACACAGAGGGGCGATGGCACCCTGCGTGGCCTCCACCAGTCACCCCTCTGCTCCCCAGCCTCAGCGGGAACAGCGTGTCGCTGGACGCCGTGTGCAGCCTGAGCCAGTGCTTCTCTGCTGTGCCCTGGCTGCTCCTCCTGGACATCAGGTGAGTGTGCCTTGGGGGCCGCGCCCCTGGCCGCCAGCTACTGACGCCCACACAGGCCCCATCTGCTGCATTCGTGGTGTAGCTTCCCTGGGGCCCTCCTGGCGCCCGGTCCAGGGAGCATGGGACAAGTGTCTGCTGAGTGAATGAATGAATGAATGAATGGGTGGGTGAATGAGTGAATGAATGAGTGGACAGGTGGGTGAGTGAATGAATGAATGAGTGGGTGGGTGAATGAATGAATGAATGAGTGGACAGGTGGGTGAATGAATGAACCGAATGGACAACTATAACCCCCGGGACACTCACATTTCTCTAAATTCACTATGGGACAGCATCAGTGAATAATCCCTTACTCTCTCGATTGACTTTCAAGACTTGAAGCAAACTGGGGACCCCCCCCAGTGGCCATGGGGGCCCAGGACCCGCCCTCACAGTGGGGTGGAGGGACCATGCAGTGCAGTGGGTCTCCCCATTCCTCCCTCCCCTTCCCGGGGACCCCTGCGCTCCCCAGGACCAG